CCCCAAAACCCCAAAACCCCAAAACCCCAAAACCCCAAAACCCCAAAACCCCAAAACCCCTTTAGCAATACTAATTTTTGATTTATCAAATACGTAATTATTAAATGGAGGTAGACCCATCAAAAGCTAGAGGTCATGTTATCTGTGAAGAAGATATGGAATTCTCAGAAGATCTATGCCAGCTATACCACTTATGTGTAGGGTTCAACCAAGACCCTTGCAATGAAGATGACTTCAAATTTATTTATGAATATGATGATGATTTCACAACTTTCCCCACCATTAGCGTACTTGCTTTAAAGGTTTGCCTTACAAAAATGTTTGAAACTCCAGGACTTCCTCAATTCAACATCATGTCACTTTTGCACGGAGAGCAGATAGTCGAAGTTTCAAACCCAATTCCTCCTGGCTCCCCAGTAAGATGCATTGCAGTGATGGAAGATCTTGCAGACAAAGGAAAAGGCATGCTCATGACTGTAAGAATTGATCTCAAAAACCCAGAAAACCTCGATGAAATGTACTCAAGGTGTTATATGAAATTTTACGTCAGAGGACTCGGTGGATTCGGAGATAAAGGAATTCTAGACCAAAAGATTCCAGATCCTCCAGCAAGAGAGCCAGACCAGACCTTTGAAGCTCCTACAGATGAGAGACTAGCTCTTTTCTACAGACTCTGTGGTGATGTGAACCCTTTGCATATTGTTCCAAGTGCAGCTCAACTCGCTGGATTCGAAAAACCAATCCTTCATGGCCTTTGTACCTATGGAATACTAGGAAGAGCTGTTTACGAAACATATTGTGAAGGAGATGTATCTCTTATCAAGAACATTAGTGTTAGATTTGTCTCTCATGTATACCCGGGAGAAACCATCAAGGTAGATATGTTCAAAGAAGGAGACAGCATCTTATTCTCAGCCACTACTCTTGAAAGAAAGGCGGTCATTTCCACAGGTGTGGTTGACCTTAAGCCTCAAGCCAAAATTTAGATTTAGATGAAACATTCAACATTCGTCATTTGTTTTGGGGTTTTGGGGTTTTGGGGTTTTGGGGTTTTGGGGTTTTGGGGTTTTGGGGTTTTGGGG